AGTCTTTATATGTATATATTGCATTAATAAATGCAAGGTTTAACTTTACATTTTTTTTTTTTTTTTTTTAAATAGTACATGCAATTGCTTTATTAGACCTTGCACCAAATTCACAAAATGAAAAATAATATTATATCACAAAACACTTTACTTCACACTTCATAAAAAATACTCGAACCTATATTTACATGAAAAATAAATTAGGGTTAGATGCCTGTAATTTAACGTTATTTGACAAGTTGATCCCAACATTCCATAATAATAATGTGCGGTTTTTTAATTTCCAGGTAGCTTTAAAATAAAATTTTAATACTTCATCATAAAGTTTTGGTTTGTATAAGTAAACATCGTCAAAAAAAGGGGCATAAGCACCCCAGAGTAAAAAACTCTGACTCTTATTGGTCTCATATACGGCACATTTTGGACTCTTTTTGAGGTTATTGGTCTCATAAATGCCTACTTACGGAGTCTTATTTCATGCTGTTCTGTGAATCTTATTCGCCTTATTCTTCGACTCTTCATTTCAAATACTGTTGCATATATACATACATACCTCTGCGCATGCATATATATGTATATTGCAACATTTATGTAATAAGTAGCAGCTGCTGCAGCTAAATTTTGATTATTTTTTGTTTCCAAATTATTTTTCATATCATATATAATATTATTATTCATATAACAAGTTTAGATATAAATTTCGAGCCATTATTGTTATACCCGAGCGCACTTGTGCACAAGGCTATTATAACCTTGTTCGCATAACGGTTGTTTGTAACAGCCTAAACGAATCGGGATAGATATAGACAAATGTATACATAAATGATCAGAATGAAAAGAGAAATGGATTAAGTCATGTCTGTCCGTCCGTCTGTCCGTGTACACGATAAGTCGAGCAAAAATTGAGATATGTCAACGAAATTTGGTAAGTCGGTTGGGATTGAAAATGGGCAAAATCGGGCAATAACCACGCCCACCTCCCATATAACGGTATTTTCGAAATATGCACAAACTAAGATATTTCCGTAAAATAAGACAGTTATGAAATTTTTGCAAAAGGGCGTAGCCCCGCCCACTTATGACGAAATGCTGATCTCTGTACCATGGTGCGAACATTGCTTAGGGCCTTACTAAGAAACCCGTTGATCATTTTTGAAATCAGACAAGAACCACGCCCACGGTAATTTACAGATATTCGAAAACTGCGATAAATTAGTAACTATTTAAGCTAATTTACTCAAAATCGATATATGCAATGAACTCTTAGCATAAAATGATATTTAGGGGACTACATAAGTATATATCGATAACCGCCTTACCGATTTCCACCAAATTTGGTCCAATTATTTCAATATATCATAGCCTATTATTGGAACTGTTTTACATCCGGAAAAATACTCTTCCTTATCATGAAGTTTACTAAAAGGTGAAAAAAACGATATTTAATACGTGCGCTGGGTATATAAAGTTCGGTTTCGCCCGAACTTATACTTCTTTACTTGTTTTTATATTGGAACAAAGTGCCTGCTCATAACTTGGATCATATATGAATCCTAAAAGATTCATATAAGAGTAAAAAAATTTTTGTTTTTGAAACTCATATTTCTTACCTACCTAGGACTCCTTTCCGATTCTTATATTCTGAACGCTCAGAACAAGGCGAATTTATATAAGGTGGTGTTACTAGCTCAGCTGATTTTGTATTTGCGTTTCGCCGCACGGCTTCTGATATCAAATTGAAAAATTTTGTTTGAATTCCTACGCACACTCTTACAGATTTTGACAGTTTATGCCGCCAAAGCAAAAACAAAATACATGTAAATTTTTGTTTTTGTAGTCCTGCTATCACCTTACATTAATTCGCCTTGGCTCAGAATATGTTTGCGAGAATATTCTGAGCGTTCAGAATACATGAGTCAAAAACAAAATTTTTTTTACTCTTATATGAATCTTTCAGTATTCATATATAATCCAAGTTATGAGCCAGCACCTTGTGCCAATATAAAAACAGGAAAGATTCGAAATTTATATCTAAACTTCTTTATACAGAAACTAGCAGACCCGGCGAACTTCGTCCCGCCCAAAATAAATTTTTTGTATTGAAACATTTTGGTACAACATTTTCACCAACAGTTCACGTTCATGATTTTCACTGACGCATTTATCTTCTAATATTACGTTTTGGTGGTTGTCGGAAGGCATATTTCCATTACCATCTTAAATAACCTAGCAAAATTGTATATGCATACAAAGATACGTAATAGCTTCAGTACCGTTTGAAAGGCGCCACACCCCCCTTATAAAATAGCCGCAATTTTTTATAAGAGTATGGGAGTGATTTCTCATATATCCATACCATGTTCAAGTACTCTTACCATGAACACTTCCAGAGATATGCAGTGTGAAATATTCGGTTTGCATGGGAGGTGCCACGCACCCTTTTTCAAATACAACAAATTTTTCTTCATGACTATATGTCTTGTACATACCAAGTTCCAGTACTCTACCATGAACACTTGCAGAGANTACCATGTTCGAGTCCTCTTCCGTGAACATTTTCCGGGATATGCAGTATGGAAAATTCGGTTTGTATGGGATGTGCCACGCCCCTTTTCTAATAGCCTCAATTTTTCTTCATGACCATGTGATCGATTTCATTTATCTCCATACCAAGTTTCAGTAGTCTACCACGAACACTTCCAGAGATATGCAGTATGAGAAATTCGGTTTGTATGGGAGGTGCCACGCCCCCTTTTCCAAAAACCATAATTTTTCTACATGAGTATGCGATTGTTTTCGTATATCTCCATACCATTTTCGAGTACTCTACCATGAACACTTCCAGAGATTTGCAGTATGAAAAATTCGGTTTGTATGGGAGGTGCCACGCCCCCTGCACCTTACGGAATGAAATATACTTTACATCCGATTCTCATAGCTACCATATATGCACAAAAAATTTCATAATGATCGGTCAAGCCGTTTAGGAGGAGCTCGACCACTAACACCGTGACACGAGATTTTTATATATTAGATTGAAAATAATTACAAAACAAAAAATTAAAAAAATTTATGCAGCTGCGGCTATTAAATGCATGTTGGAATGTGTATATGCACGTAAGTATGTATGTGTGTTATTTGAAAGAAAGTTTTGCTGAATGCCTTTTCAAATATAGTGCGTTCAATAAGACTCATAGAACAACTTAAAATAAGAGTCCGAATGTAGTAATTTATTAAGCTGATAAGAGCCTTAAAAAGAGTCCGAAATGATTCATGTATGAGGTCAAAAATTGTTCTAATAGAGTCCAAAATGAGCCGTATATGTAAGACCAATGAGAGTCCAATATGACTCATATTGAGTCTCTTTGATATATGAATTTAAGCTCATATAAGTCAACCTTCGGAGGAACGGAAACACCCTCATATCGGACTCTTAAATGATCTCATTATGAGCGTAATGGCTCCGAAAAAGGACTCCTTAAAGACTCATTTATGACTCCAAATGTTTGCTGGGTATTCACAGATACTAATACATGGAAAACCTGCGTACGCGCAAAACTTACATTTGGCTCAAAACTTTCTTCATTTGATTGCTGAATCCAAACACATTGCGCAGATAGGTTACTGCCAATATACTTATAGAAGTATTAAATATACATATGTTCAAGCAAACTCTTTTCGTACTATCGAATGCTCCTTTCAGTTTTATAAATATATACATACATATATAAATATATTTGACAGTTGGTGAAATCAAAGCCTTTCTATGTACATATGTATATATATCAATTCCTTGACAATGGACTTTAGCCTTTTACTCACGGTGCATCTTTCCTACCAAAAGTCTTCAAAACTTGCCAAAAGTACAGTTTTGTATCTACTTGTAGACTAATGAAACTATTTTACAAAAATTGTAAATTTAATCGTGACACTCCCTAAAAACGTTAAGTTAAGGGATAACTACGATATGCAAAGTGTGAGCCCAATTGCAGGCCATTAAAATTTGCGCCTTGAGTCAGAAGTTTGAAAAGGTCCAAATATTGTTTTTTTTTTATTTGTAATTCTTTATAGTTTATAAATTATTTGTTATAACCAGGGAACGGATTTTATGGAAATTGCCTTTTTTTCTGCTAAAGAGATAGAGTATATTCGATCAAGAATGTCCACGATTTAGCTTTCCGTGATTCCATATATACCCATTTGATGTTGCCTTTTTTTGCCTTTTTTAAGATATTTGCCTTTTTTTGCCTTTTTTAAGATATTTGCCTTTTTTGCCTGTTTTAAGATATTTGCCTTTTTTTTTGCCCTTTCTACCTTTAAAAAAGTGATTATAGCATTTACAATTTTTTTTAAAGATTAAGAAATATACACATGCCCATATTCGAAAATTAGTATGTATAGAAAAACGCAGTGTGTAAGTAGTGAATACTTAAGCTTAAATAAATTTTCATGTCACTCTGCTGCGTGCTAAAATCTATCAACACAGTTGCTGATGTGCACAACTAACAACTGTTTTACTTCAATAGAGTTTGCCAGCCGTTATTTGAAACAAAAAGTTATTCAGTGTAAAAACTAAAAAAGCAATGCCGAAGTCTAAAATTACCAAGAGTTTAAAAATTCACACTCTGATTGCCGAGTTTGGTTCGGATGTATTTTGTACTGATGGGACCGTTTTATTTTGCAATATTTGTTCAGTAAAAGTTAATCACGAAAAAAAATATTATATTCAGCAGCATATTAAAAGTGAAAAACATATAAAAGGATTACAAATAAAGAAAAACAAGACCCAAATGATAGCACCATTTGTGGAAAAGAATGTATTTTACGCAGATATTACTAAAATGATGATTGCATGCGGAATTCCACTTTATAAATTGAAGAGTGTGGAATTCAAATCATTCTTTGAAAAATACGTTCAGGAATCCCTTCCCGATGAATCAACTCTTAGAAAAAATTACGTGAAGGATTGTTACGAGTCCGTTTTGGAGAAAATNGATTACAAATAAAGAAAAACAAGACCCAAATGATAGCACCATTTGTGGAAAAGAATGTATTTTACGCAGATATTACTAAAATGATGATTGCATGCGGAATTCCACTTTATAAATTGAAGAGTGTGGAATTCAAATCATTCTTTGAAAAATACGTTCAGGAATCCCTTCCCGATGAATCAACTCTTAGAAAAAATTACGTGAAGGATTGTTACGAGTCCGTTTTGCAGAAAATTCGTTTAGAAATAGGAGAAAGCCCCATCTTTGTGTCCATCGATGAAACTACAGATAAGGCAGGCCGCAGTGTAACCAACGTTATTGTTGGACCGTTGCGTGAAAGCGGACGCGGCTATCTCTTGACGGTGGAGGTGTTGGATAAGGTGAACTCATCAACAATCGCAACATTGTTTGACGATTCTATGCACATTTTATGGCCAATAGGATTCCAACGTGAAAAAGTGTTGGTATTTGTGACTGATGCAGCACCCTACATGAAGAAAAGTGCGTCATCATTGAAGCTGCTTTATCCTAATATGATTCATATCACCTGCGTCGCACATGGCGTACACCGGGTCTGCGAATCTCTACGCTCGAAGTACTCAGATGTTGACGTCTTAATTTCAAACTTAAAAAAAGTTTTCTTGAAAAGCCCATTCAGGGTGGCAGTTTTCAAAGAAATGGAACCCAATCTTCCTCTGCCTCCTCACCCGGTATGTCAAGATAAATTGCTATTGTTGTTAATTTTAATTATAATTATTTGTAAATTTATACAGGTGATAACTCGATGGGGCATTTTGGCTAATTGCAGCCGTATATTATGCCGAAAACTATGATTCCATCAAAAGAATAATTGACCAAATAACGGACGATGCAGCATGTGTCAGTTTCTCGAAGCAATTGTTGAGCAAAAAATCGGTTCAGGGGAATTTGATATATATAAAATGCAATTTTGGTTTTCTTTTAGAGGAAAAAGTTTTCGAACGTCTACAGAAAACAGGTTGTGGAAAAACCAAATTCTCAGTAAAAAATTAATAATTCACATACACTTTTTATGTAATTGTAGGAACTCCAGTTGGTGAGGTATTAAATATTTTGGATAACATTGAGAAGCGGCTTATAGAAGCGCAGGGGCCTATTGCCAAATTGGTGTTGGACAAATTCAAAGCCGTTTTCTCAGCTAACTTAGGCTTGGAGACAATAAGGGGTGTGGATAAAATTGTTAAGTGTGAGGCAAACGCCCTTATTCCTGATAATATGAACGTTTCAAACGTTCCATATTTAAATTGGGCGCCACTTGTATCAACTTACGTCGAGCGCACATTTAGTACATTCAAGGCTTTTCTTCGCGAAAATCGAATGAAAATGCTGCCAGAAAACTTCAAAATGCATCTTGTGGTTCAATGTTACTACAACTATACAGATTAAAGTTTTATGAGTTAAAAACTCGAAATGATAAAATAGTCAAAGATTCAAAGTACAAATTTTTCATATAATGAAATTAGTTCATAGTTTTTCTCATTTTACTTGTAATATAAACATTTCTAAAATAAATGTAATTTTTGATTGTTCTTCGTATTTTCTGTCTTTTTTAGTGCCTTATTTTGCTTTTTTTGCAATACCTTTTTTTTGCCTTTTCCGTCCTATTTCGTTATTTTATTTTGCCTTTTTTATAGGTTTTTAGGTCCTAAAAAGCCGTTCCCTGGTTATAACTCAAGACGAATTCATATAAGGTGGTGTTACTAGAGCGGCTGATTCCAATGCGAATTTGTACTGATTTTCAAAATGATGTGTTTGTAGTAAATTTGTTGGTGTTCTTATTGTCATTTTACGTATAATTTGCTAATATAGTTTTTGCTTTTGTGCTTTGCGATTATATGAATTCACCGTGTTGTAAGTGATGGAAATTGGCGATTATAATCTTTTCCGACTTGTATTAAATATTGCAGTTTGTCTTCTTTTTTTGTCAATCATTTATTGTAATCTTGGACCTGTTTACACCACGCTCTGCAGTATCAGTGGCGACTTATGATTCTCCTACCATTCTGAAAATCTTCATCATCTTGCCACAAATTTGGCAATTTGTTTGGTGTAATCAAATCAGCCAATTTTTTTTTGTAGAAACGTAATCAGCGACTTTCAATTGTGGGTTACGGCGGACCACCCCCATATTAGCACTGAACATAACGCAGTGCTTGTCGACGTTGCAGGCAAAATTTCCACTGCGCGAATAGTTTTTAGACTCAGGGAAACCGATTGGTTGACCGACTTAAGGACTGGATACTCTGGAGTTCTAGTGGGCTCACAGATTAGTCCGCCACCAAAATGACTTCTAGGAGCTTCTTCTTTGCCCACTTTCTCTAAAGGGAGGATTGGGCTGGGTGGAACTTCTGGAGAGGGGGAGCGGTAACCTCTTCTTCACGGATGGATCGAAACTGGACGGCAAATGTCTGTCGAGAACTTTCCATCAGCACGAAAGTCCAGGCTCCCGGACTTCTGCAGTGTATTCCAGGCAGGAGTGGCTGCTATCAGGGAGGCGATGGATTCACTGCTCCGGAGTTCCATGACAGTCAGGCATGTGAGCATTTATTCTGATAGCCAAGCAGCTATCAGGGCCTTGAGCACGGTGGAGGTGCGCTCTAACTTGGTTAAGGAATATATGCTCTCTTTCTCGGTCTCGTCGGAATACTTCTGTATTAAATTAATTTGGGTTCCGGGTCAAAGCGACATTGCGGGGAACTGTGGGGGTGCCATTGTTCACCTGTGGCACACTCTTTGATAGATGGGCCTCATGTCAGCTCAGCAAGCGCTGGGAGAAAACCAGAACATGTGCGATCGCAAGGTCCTTCCGGCCGAGGGTGGGCAGGGGGCTGTCGAGGGCACTCCTCACACACGAAAAGCCACAGATCTCACTTTAGGTGGGGGTTTAAACGGATCACTGTTCTATCGGTATTCACGCAATAATGCTGAGCATACGACCGGACCCCATACGCCGCAGTTGCCTTGGAAACGACGAGATAGAATCACCTCAACATTACCTTCCCAGCGTTTGCAAGACCCCGAGAAGCTGTGGGGCATTGAGTTTAGCCGAATCCGTAAATATAGAATCGGCTCGGGGCGTTTTATCGATTAAGTATTGGGTGCCATTCAGAATGTGGTATCACAAAGGACAATCTCTCAATTGTGCAAGTGAGCCCCAGTTAAACCTAAAGTAAGAGAAAGGAGGCTTTATATCCATTATAATACAATACATAAAAGTACGGGCAGGTCGCACACATTCTCTAAAGTATTACTTTTCCATAGGCAGATGGTGTAATGGCCCCACAAGCGATATGGTTGCGTAGCGCATGACAACACTTATGTAGATTGCCAGCACTGCCATGTAGAGTTCGCAAACTATCGACGATACTATCGATATTTTTGATTTGATTCCGCACCAATAAAAATTAATTTTATTAGTTTTGGCAAATATTTTGGATATTGCCAATCGAATCAACATAGAATTTTAAAGTAAATTATACAACAACAATATATATATAACAATTTTGAAAGTAACTACAAACTTATATCGTCTTTTTTTTCAAACCAAACTGTATTAAAGTGACTCAGCTGATAGAGACCTTTGCAACCCAGTAGCTCGTTTCTGTAACTTTTCTCTACCGATTATTTCTCTACTGGTAGAGAATATACGCAGTTCTCTATTACTCATTAGCAGTAGAGAACAGGGCGGCGAATTCATATCTCGATTCGCATTGGTAGAGAATTGTTACAGAAACGAGCTACAGATAATCATTTACCTATTAAGGAAGTATATATTACTTTTGCCGCAGAGACGAAGATACCAATAGCACACTTAAGTAAAGTCCTAATAAAAAAAATATATATATAACGACCCCTAACCGCCAAATAGGCGTAAGCGACAAAAAGTAAATTTTTCAGTAGGCGGTTTTTTCTTGATAACACTGAAGTTACTGTAGATCAGAGGTTCCCAAACTTTTTTTCTCGTAGACCCCTTTCAAAAATTTACTGGTTTCGGTGGACCCCCTGTTGATACATTTCTAAATATTCCCAAAGCTCGTAAAAAAATGAAATGTGATAATTAGATCCAACAATGTAAACTTGCGGGAGAATTCAAAAACTAAACTCAGAGTGGCCAAAATAACAGTAAAATATTTTCTTGTGTTCTATTTATAAAAATAATGTGATTACAAACCTGTAGGTTTTAAAAAATAGAGCTCGTAAATACATCAAAATACTCTCTCGCTGATGGTGGCTTCGATTGCCGAAGGTGGGAGTGCTAAGGCTTCCCCTCGTATGAAAACACAAGGTGACGGTAAGTGCAGCAGTGCATCAAGAGCACCATACACCACTCAAACAAATTAAAGTTAAATAAAGAAGCTATCAAGCAACCATTTTGGTTCTTTACATCGAAACCAGATAAATTTTCGTGGAGCCCCATTTACAACTCATGGATCCCCATATCTTTCACGTCACCGTGGCCCACGTCGAGTCTCCCGTGGACCCCTGGGGGTCCATCTGGACCACTTTGGGAATCACTGCTATAGATACTAACGTATAGGTTAATGAACAAGTTAAGATTGATGTTAGGCATATTATACTGGTGGTTTTATTTGCCCATCTTTAATGAAACAAGTAATTTTGTCGCTTACGCCCTTTTTGCCGTCACACAAAAAGGCTACAGCACGCAATTGCGGTGGTTAAGCCAAAAGAGATATAAAAAACACACATTTTTTGCATTAACAAAAACCTTTTTTGCCTGATTAAACACGCGAAAATGCTCCGGCTGAACCCTCCACGAGGGTGCCGACTGGTAATGGGCACCACATTTTTTAGGCTCTGTACGATGTCAGAACAGTGTCCAGCGAAGATCAGAAATCAGTGCCATGTGCTCAAGTTCCTCAACATATGGAAATGGTTTTGATCGTCGCCTATAGTGGTAACGAAGCAGCGAACCTCTTGAAAAAGGCTCCGGGTTGGAACAAGGTGTTAGACGACCCGTGCTGATGTTCAGCCTGGCTGGGGACCCAGATTAATAACTAGCCCAGTCTCGAACGGAGTGCTCCGAATATCTGGCGACCTCCGGTTCTATATAGCTCTATCTTTGCACACAAACCTCTGTGCAAGTGGACCTCCTTTGTCCGGTACTCGTAGGACCAAGATTATGAGTGAAATTTCCAAACAAAGAATCAGTAAAGAGGACGGTCCTCCAAAAAAAACCGACAGGCGTGGCTTCGTCTTCTGCTTTAGCCTCGAGCAGGACAGGGGCCAGACCGCCATTGTTAGGAGGCAGACGGGGCTTAAGCGACTCGCTTAGGATGCCCGTGCAGACAGGTCTCCAATCATTTGTTAGCTGGAGCTGCGGGGACAGGTACCAATCTTCCACCATGTGAAAGCAGGTCATGGCAGCCTGCTAATTAAGGATTAGAAATAACATCATTCAAGGGGCCAATAGGTCATGGTTAGGGGAGGGTACTTGTACAACAACTAGGCTACTATGGCCACAAATTGATAGGAAAAAACCTGAAGGGCTGCTTAGTCTCAAGGGAGGACATTTTGATGGTCAAGGCTTGTGTAACCGGTCATTGACTATTTGGTGATCACGTTTAGAGATTAGGAATATTCTCCCATATATATTGCAGAAGTTGCAGAGATGAGGAAGAAACAGTTCAGAACTTCTTCTATATCTGCCCAGCTTAAGCTAAGAGCAGAGCGAGCTTTCTAGGTAGGCACTTTTTCAGCTCTCCCACGGAACTATCCGGTGTAGGAATAAAACCAATCCTATGCTTCATAAGAGATTGAAAATGGTTCTGTGCAGAATAGTCACTGAGGTTCCCATATTTCACAGTGGTATCACAATGGACCTGCAAGTTCTAAGTGAGTTAGTCATTGGACTGACTGTCACATCAACCTAACCTAACATAAGAAACGAAGCCAGAATTGTCCTCTTCTAACTTTTCAGAAGAATCGGTGTCGCTGTATGGGACGAGTGTGCCTTTAGTTAAGCCCTGCAACAACCAAGTTTTTTAACCCCATATACATTTATTATATTTTTATCCTTTTGATTCAAAATCTTAATCTACCACGAATATATGTATTTGCCTTTG